GTCCGATGACCGTTTCACATACTTTTTTGTCATCTTCAGATCCCTTGCAAAGTACCCAGGGTTGAGAAGATTGCATAAATTGATTACCGAGTCGAGCGATGGACAAAAGATGTCTTATACCTGAAACACGTGACCTTCATTTTTAACATACCATATGATAAATGCCATTTAATTTTTTTTTTTGTAATTGTAAAATAATATTTACCCTCACGAAGTTTTCCCTTTTCAATGACTGATATATACTCGTGAAGTTCTCTGTTCACCAAAGCAACCAACTCATAATTTTCATCCGTTAAATTCATGTTTGGAATTTTCGAATCGAATGTTTTTTCGCAGAACATCAAAGCCCTGAAAATATAAATTTTTAAATTTTTTAGGTACGATAAAATAAAAAATAAAAGTATTTTAATGTTAAAAACTTGTTTAATACCTATTAATAAAGTTTCCTAGAACGCTTAAAAGTTCCGAGTTATTTTTTAATGCAAGATCAGACCATGAAAAACTGGAGTCTTGTGATTCTGGTCTCACGTAAAGTAAATAAAATCTCCAAACGTCAGCCGGTATTCCAGTTTCTTGTGCATCATTTCCAAAAACTCCGATACCTCTGGATTTTGAAAATTTTCCATCTTCGTAATTAAGATATTCTGGAAAAAAAAAAAAAAAACAAGATAATTATACGAAAATAAAATTTTTATGTGTTAAAAATTAACTTCGAAAAATATAATTACCTGTAGCAAAAATATTACTAACAGTCACGTAGTTTTCTTTGCTGGCGATTAAAGATGCTGGAAACATGACGGAATGAAAGGGTACATTATCTTTTGCCATAAACTGATAAAGATTCACTTTAGTATTTTTATCTGGCATCCACCATTTTTTCCATTCACTCGTGTATCCTTTGGTAATCGAAATGTACCCGATGGGAGCATCAAACCATACGTAAAATACCTGAAAATACATTCAAATTCCAAATTTAAAATCTGTTTAATATCTAAATTTATTAATTATAAGTTTAGAATAGTGCATCCCACTCACCTTGCTTTCAAAACCTTCTAGAGGCACTGGAATTCCCCATTTTAAGTCTCTTGTTATGCATCTCGGTTTTAAACCGTCATTTAGCCAAGCTTTACTTATTTCTCGTGCATTATGCGACCAGTCTAGCCAACGTTGTTGAATCCATTCTTTAAGTAATGGTTCTATCTGTAATTATAAAATAATATTTTTTTCATTTTTTAAAATTAAAGATTAATTTAGTTGCGATTTTAATCTTTTTTTTTTAATTAAAAATTGAGTAATTTACCTTAGGAAGATCTAAGAAAAATTGTTTCGATTGACGTAAAACTGGAGTTTGTTTACACATTTTACACCTGGGTTTTATCAACTCAGGTGCATTTATAAGATGTCCACAACCGTCACATTGATCACCCCTGGCATCTTCATAACTACACCGAGGGCAAACACCTTCAACAAATCTATCTGCTAAATATCTAAAGCACAAAAACATTTATTAAATTCAAGTGTAAATCATTTTATTACACGGTGAATTACAGATAAGAAAAACATAAAATAAAATAAAATTACCTATCACATTTTTCACACAACAACTGTTCGACTACATCAGAAATAATGTAATTATTTTCATTAATTTTTTTAAAAATAAGTTGGCAAATTCTGAAAAACAATATGATTAATTATGACAATTCACACTAATTTCACATTTCAAAAAATAAATTTTTAAATAACCAACTCGGTTTGTTGAGGAGTTGTCGTTCTCCCAAAATAATCAAACGAAATGCCAAACCATTTGTAAATAGCATCATGAATTTTATAATATTTATCACAAATTTCTCGAGGAGTAAGTCCTTCTTCTAAAGCTTTAGTTTCTGTTGCAGTTCCATATTCATCTGTTCCACTAATGTATAATGTATTGTATCCTCTTAATCTACAGAATCTAAAAACAATTCATTTTATTTTAATAGAATTTAAAAAAATACAAATATTTTAATGTAATTAAAATTTTATTAATCAATTTACCTTGCAAATACATCCCCAGATAAAACACATCCTATTATATTACCAAGATGAGGAACATTGTTCACATATGGCAAAGCTGATGTAATTAAAATATTTGTTTCCCCTGCTACAGGTAAACTATAAATAAGAAGAAAATATAATCAATTAACAAATTAAATATCGAGAGTTAGAGTTAAAAAAAAAAATTTCAACCTACACAGAATGCTTATTAGTTTTAACTGAAATTTTAAACTTTTCTTTCCAAGCTGCTGCTGCTATTTTTTTTTCTTCATTAGTAACAGTTAAACTATTGTCTTTAATAGTTTTTTCAGGTGTACTTGGTATAGAAAATTTTTGTGAACTGGATGAACCAGGTTTTACACTCGTACTTTTTTGTACACAAGCTAAATTTTCAATTGAACTTAAACCTTGTTTAATATTACATAGTTTTAAGGATTCCTAATATCGAATGATTTCAATTAATAGATGATATAAATAAGATAGATAAAATATAATTTTTATATAAAAAATAAATTATTATTACTTGTACTTCTGGAAGTTTAAAAATAAATTCAAACCATTTCTTTAATGAATCCTTATTGAGAAGAATGTCATTAAACTTGGTATCGGTAAATATCGGGTATAAAGCACACCAAATGGACACATCACTTACTGTTATTTCATTCTAAAAAAAAAAAGTATTTAACATATAACTGTGAGGATTACTATAGTTACAAGTCTCAAACTTTAAAATTTTTAAAAACATACACCACACAGGAATTTTTTTGATATTAGATCATTATTGCATTGATTTAATATTTCTTCAAAGCTTTTTTTATTTTTATCAGACACTTTACCAGAAAATGTTGCTATCAATGGCTGTAATAAAAAAAAAGTAATTAGAATTAATATTTCACAATTAAATAAAAAAAAAAAAATAAAACTTCAATATTAATAAAAAATCATAATAATTAACCTGTATAACAGTAGCCTCTACATCTAAATAGTAATTAACACAAGAATTATGTTCTACTGATGGAGGAAATAAAAATTTAGAACTTGCATTACTGGAAAAAATATGAACTCCTGAATCTAATACCAGTTGTGGTATGGTTTTAGGAGATTTTAAATTTAATTCTGGAAAAAAAATTTCTTTATGAAAACCAGCCTTATGGAAAACTAACCTAAAATAATTTTAATTCAGACTTACTTTCAATTGAATTTGTTAGAACATGAATGGACTTTTTAGTTATTTTAGAACTGATGACTATTTTTAAACTGTTAATATTATTTTCGTTAGTTAACACTTTCATTTTAAAATTTTCGATAATCTGATAAGGTTCAAATTATGTGGCAGTTATAAGAGCGTAATAAAACCTTGCTACTACTCATACTAAATATTTCTCGTAAAATTCAAAGTGATACTTGTGTGTGCTTTAATAAGGTTTCATTAAGGGAAAACTTGTATTTATTAAAACAAAATTGTTGGGGTTTGGAGTATATTTTTTAAAACAATTTTATTTAAAAAATAAGTTAGTAAATTATTACGAATAAAAAAAGAACGGTTAGTCAATTTGAATACTTTTTGCAAAATTTAGCCTGTCATCATCTTTTAGATATGGCGGTACTTCCTGTTTGAAGTAGTCGTCTGGGAAACTTGTAGTATGTGGCCATCCGGGCACTAGTTGGTTGTGAAATTTGACTAGCATTTATGTTAAACCGTATATTAGTTTGTTTAATTGAATCTTTACTAATAAATAATAATGGCCGACTTAGATGACTTTTTTGCTAAAAAAGACCGAAAAAAGGCAAAAGGCAAAAAATTTACAACGACAGAAGAAATTGCCAAAAAAATGGAAGAAACTGGGAGAAGGATTGAAAAACCAATAAAAGACAAAATAGGTATATTATCAGGACCTTTTGGACCCGATGGCGATGATATTATGGGAAATAACGAGGTAAAAAATTTAAGATAATTAACCAACTCGTGGTTTCGTCATCTTAATTTTTCATCCTTTTTATCATTTATTCTTTATCTAATATTGGTTTCAACAATTTTTAAGTTAGTAAATATATATTATTAATTAAAATTAAAATTTATTTTTTGAAATTTTTGATTATCAAAGACTGATGATATGTCATTTTTGAAAATTTGTTTTCCTTATGTTAGTTAAAATAATTTAGGCAAATGGATGTATCACTTTCAAAAAAAAAAACTTTTTCTTTTTTTTCCCTTTTAAGATTTGTTATTTTTTTTTTATCAAAAATAAATAAGTGTTATAATAAATTTCAGGAAGATGAAGAATGGAAAGAATTTAAAGAAGAAGAAAAAAAAGATTACACTGGACTAAAAATTCAAAACTTATCTCTTCAAGATTTAGATGATGCTGACAAAAATGATAGAGACGATGAACCTGAAATGAATGACCAAAATAATTCAAATTCACAAAAGAAAGGACCTTGGAAAGTAGTAGAAGGTTATTTTTCGTTTCATTTCATTTTTTTTTTTTTCTTCAAAATATTTTGTATTTTATATGTGTTTAGTCGAACATTGATATGATTCATATAAAAAGTATCATTTTTTACAGTTACTGAAAAAAAAGAAAAAACTCCTCCACCTGTTCAGAAAAGTTATAAAGTTCCTCAATTAAGAAAAGCAGGTTTAAATCAAAGTAGATCAAGTTCGGGTGGAAAACCTGAAGCTCCCGATATAACCAGTAAAACATATTTTCCTACTTTATCAGCAGCAACTAATGAATCATCTGTATCTTGGAATAAAAGGTAACATTATTAAAATTCAAACAAAACATTTACACATTATTACATTATACGAAAAAAATACTCAAAATTCATTAACCTATAAAATAATTTGTTGAGTTTAAAATTTTTTTTTTTTGTAACTTAAATATAAGCTAGTTAAGTTTTTCTTCACATTACTATAAATTAAAGTTTTTTAAATAACATTTTGATAAATTTGTAATTTATCTCAAACGATTAATACTTAAGGTCAGTTTTATAATAAAATGAGTTTTTGAAAATTTATTATTATTGTTATTCATAAATTATTTTATATAACCATTTAAAAAAAAAAAAAACTAATTAAAAATTTTTCCTTTTGTATCTGTTTACAGAATTCATGTATATAAATATTATTATGAAATTTCATTAACACAATAAATCAGTGTCGTTAGCATAAAAATTGTCATTTATAAAATCATTACGATGATTGTTCGGATACTACAATAAATTTATATTGAATGAATTACACTTGATGAAAAATTTATTCATAAATTCTTTTCGAATTACCATTAATAATTAAATTTTGATTTAAATAAATTTAAATTGTTATAATTAATTTTTTTTTTAAAATAAGTATTTACTCGAAAACATTGTTTAAAAAAAGTTTATCGAAAGCTGATTAATTATGAATATAAAAAACAAAATGGCCGCAAATTTTTAATTAATCATATAACACATTTAATTACTTTAAATTTTGTTATTGTTGTTGTTTGTTGTTTTCCCTCGTTCTTATTTTTTACATTATCTTATACATAAATGAAATAAATAATTTTTTTTTTTTTATAGAAAACAAGAATCCGGTTCAGAAGAAATGAGCAGAAATAACCGGTCTCAATTTAGCAAAAGTGATTCTACAACTACAACAACTTCATCATCTTCTTCTTCTTCTTCAC